ATTTATAATATTTCACTAAAGGGAGACAATCTAAGAAAACCGCCACCGGGGACAAAGGCTGGCAATCAAAAGGTTATGAATCAGGAAACCATGTGAGTTTAAACAACCTACCTCCCGTTTCACCCCTGACCGAGGTAACCAGAACAACACCTCCTCGTAACAAAAACCCCTAGTCTCGAGGTGACTGGTAGTGAATCCGAGAAAGCTCCATAAGGAAAAAGTAATGAGGTAGGTAACGCCTACCATACTGAAGATATAGTTGACGTGAGGACTCCCATGAAGTGGTTACGACCTCCCTTTAGTAAGGCTTTCTATGGATATTGTATTCTGGAATATTCAAGGTCTTTTAAACCTAGAATTGTTGCTTTTTTGGATTTAACAAGGTCTTTTAAACCTAGAATAGTTGCTCTTTGTGAGACCAGAACTAGTAGAGTTAGAGCTTGTTGAAAATCGGGTAACGTGCGGAAACAACTTATTACCCCAAAAGCATTGGAGGATTTCCTGTTATGTGATTTTAACACATGGATTATTAAAAATAGAATGTAATTAGCTGTATGACAACGGCAACATGGACTGGGCAACACTTTTCAGCTCGATACTTTGGACCATTTGGGATAGAAGGAACAAAGTTATTTGATATTCTGATATGTGCGAGAGAGAATCGATCATCGAGAAAGGGATGAAATGGACATCAGATATCATTAACTCAAGGAACTCATACAACCAACCCACAGAGAACTAACAAGAGAGGAAACAAAATGGAGTCCACCAATGGTAAACTGGTGCAAAGTTAATAAGACGGAGCTCGAGACTCGAGCACTGGAGAAGCAACCTGTGGGGGGGTGACAAGAGATCACGCTGGCAAGTGGCAAAGGGGTTTTATGAAAAAGATGGGTATCTGTTCCACCCTTGAAGCGGGACTATGGGACATATACGAGGGATTGAAAATGGCTTGAGAGATGGGCGAAAAACAAGTTGTGATGGAGACTTACTGCAGAGAGGCTTTAGATATGATACAAGACGATAATAGAGAGGCTGGGCAGCTAACAATCCTTCAGCTTACTCGTTCACTCCGCCAGAGATTGGAATGTAATCTTAAGCACACTCATAGGGAGAGCAATACAATAGCTGATGCTCTAGCCAAATGGCCAGGTGGCTATCTCAGGATTACTAGGAGTATCCAACTTGAAAGCATTGCAAAAGGCTAAGCCTTCCACCTTTATATACAAATATTGAAAATGATATGACAGTAAGATGAGTAAATTTATTATTATTAATAGAATTAAGGAACAAATATTATTTTTTATACCTCTTGGATTTCTTATACTAAAATATATATATCTCTTTAGAAAAATGCAATTCCCTTGTTGATTTTTTTAATCTCCAGATCGGAGAAGAAGGCCATCTTCCATCCCATAATCTCACCTAATTTAAAATGTCTTGTTTTCTTTCTTCTCTTCCCCCCCCCCCCCTTGTTGTATCCTTTCACTGCTTCAGGATCCATTTGTTGATATTTATATTCTTCGATCATGATTTTTCTTTGTTTATGTGATCCTTTCTGCTAATCGCTTCATACGTACGTATAGAAATTAATTCCTTTTATTTATTTATTTTTAAAAAGGAAAATTAGGGTTCCTCCCCCTCATCAGTTTTTGTTATCGATGTTTGTTTTTGGATAAGTGTTATTATTCTCAATTGAATTTTGTTCTTGTTGTTGCATGGTTGTTTCGGAGTTTAATTTAGTTTTTTGGTTGGAATTTCCATTAGGGTTTATATTAATCAGGCTATTTTCCCTTCTTTTTAATCATTGCTTGCAATTTTAGTTTGCAGACCCTTAAATTTGTATGCTTATGAGATTTGATTTCTCTATAGGAAGCAAAACATTCCAAGTTAGGGACCTTGGGAAGTTTTTGTAGTGCGCTTCTTCGGGTGTTGCATACTGCATAGTTAATGGAGAAGCTAATTTCTGCATCGATCCTAACGTTATTATAGACTTGTAGCATAATTGAATTGAATATTGCAAAATTTACTTCAGTATTGGGTATAACATATTCCTTAAAATAATCTATGACGTTATTGACTTGTGGGCTATTTAGCTTTCTAATTTCTTTTTCTCCTTGCCGATGTAACTATGTAAATGTTGTGCTTCATACGTGTCGAAAAGGGACTTAAAACTACTTATATGATGGATTTGTTATTGTTTAGGGCATCTATTTCTATTCTTTTTAGATTGTAACTTGCAAGTTGAAAAGGGACTTAAAACGCACCATTTTACTGTCGTGACAATTTCAAATTTGCCCCATCTGATCAATTACAATCTTCAGTTCATCAGTGTATTTAGCACAAATTTCACTCCTAAAAAATCTAAGCCAATACAATATTCCAATTCAATGTAGTGTGACCTTTTTCTTTGTTGGTATGGACGTATGTCATTAATTTATTGTGGATGCTTAAATTTATATTGGTGTAGTTCTATCGGTTGGATTATGTGCCATTACCAAGAAGATGACCCTGAATATATGGAGGAGTATGACATGGAAGACATAGAAGATGACATGGATGAAGAGTTTCCCAGCTGATATATCTCTGGCTCAGACTCTGATGTTGATGAAAATGACTACTCGGTTTGTTTTCTGTTTTACAAGACCACATGGGCATTTCTTTAACAACTAAATTCATGAATCATTACCTTAGACAAATATACAATATGGCCATGTTCTAGTATTATATATTCATGAACTTGAAACCCTGATTTCCCTGTACTGCAGAATAATAAAATATCCGATACTTCTGCTGCTCAAGCTAGAAGAGGAAAAGACATCCAGGGAATTCCTTGGGATCGGCTTAGCATCACTAGGGAAAAATACAGGCAAACTAGGATAGAACAGTATAAGAACTATGAGAATATCTCTAACTCTGGAGAAAGGTCAGGGAAGGTAAAAATACTTATAAGTTGCACCCTTTCTTATATAAGAATTCTTTGCTTTAATGTTTCGGTGCTAATTGAGCTAAATTTGTACATAGGATTGCAAAAGTACCAAGAAGGGTGCCTCATTTTATGACTTCTAACTAAATTCAAGATCCATAAAATCAACAATACTTCATTTTCAGGTAAGCTAAATGGAAATTTTCATTTCATTAATCAGCTATCGTTACCCCATTAATATTATGTGAGGTCATAGAAGTTTTTCTTTTCTTTTTCCATTTTAAAGAACCTTTCTCCTATCTCAAGATGTTTCTAGTAGACCTTTCTTTTTTGTGTGCTTTTGACTGTGCTGTGTTTACTATTGTTGACTGGTAAACATATCCATTTGTGGTGATGCAGTTGAGGAACTTGGTATGGGCTACATCAAAACATGATGTTTACCTTATGTCACATTTTTCTGTCATTCATTGGTTTTCATTGAAACACAAACGTGAAATTCTTAATGTTTCTGGCCATGTGGCACCATCCGAGGTCAGTGTTCTGCCAGTGATTTTGCTTTTTCTCTGAATTGTTGGTTTTTTACCCTTTTATTTCACCCTATCTTATTTCTTCTGTGATTGATGAACGTGTCTTTTCTTCCTTTAGAAACATCCTGGAAATCTGATGGAAGGTTTTACTCAAAACTCAAGTCAGTACTCTTGCAGTTAAAGATAAGTTGCTGGTTGCTGGAGGATTCCAGGGTGAACTGATATGCAAGGTAAGTACTAAGTAGTGTGTCATTTTCTTTGGCCAGTCAATGTAAGTTCCATATGCAGGGGATTCGTTTCATTTTAAAGATTTGTACATACACTTACTACTATTCCATCTAAAAATTTTATTATGCAATATGCTAATAATTGGTTTATTAACTGTAAAAGAAACACTTGAGGAGAGAGATTATAATCTCTGCTTATGCATATGCTTTTGCAGCATATTTCTCTGAGCCCTGATGGGAAACTTCTAATAATCGTTGGAGACAACCCTGATGTTATGTTGGTGGACTCTGACACAGGGAAGGTAGTTGTTTCTTTCTTTTGTACCATTTATTTTATATATACCACTTTTTGGAGATTTCAAAGGCTAGGACTTCGTGTTTGGCTAATGTGAAATCATGTTGCAGACTGTTATGCCCTTGGATGGACACTTGGACCATTCATTTGCTTCAGCATGGCATCTTGATGGTGTCTCTTTTGCAACTGGTAACCAAGACAAAACTTGCCTGATTTGGGATGTTCGGAACTTGTTCGAGTCAGTTGCAGTTCTCAAGGGAAATCTTGGAGCGATGCAGTCCGTACGCTACACATCTGATGGTAGGTACACGGCAATGGCTGAGCCTGCTGACTTTGTCCATTTATATGATGTGAAAAGTGGGTAAGAGAATGAGCAAGAAATTGATTTCTTCGGTGAGATATCTGGGCTATCCTTCAGTCCAGACACAGAGTCTCTCTTCATTGGTGTATGGGATCGTACATATGGTAGCCTTCTTGAGTATGGCCGACGGAGGAACTATGCATACCTCGATTCCCTAATAATGTGAGTCGATTCTTATGAAGTATGCAAAATAAGGGCGTCACTTGGTTCCTGATGAAACTTGAGCAGTAGAAAAGGGGGAAATGCAAAATAAGCTTTTGTCGGTTTGGTTATTGATGTGGTATCTGAGCAGTAAAAGAGGGTTTTAGATGTAAATGTAAAATGTGTGCTCTGTAAACTTTAGGGGCTTGCCGTTAAATTAGATAATTGGTTTTCTTATCTGCATAAGAGGTTAATGGGAGGGTATGTACAGAAGGCCTGTTGATGTGAACAAGAATGATAGAACTATGGTTCCCAGTTCCTTTGGAACTAGTCAATTTTATTTTCCATTTTGTTTTCTTTTGCACTTTGCTCTTTACTCTTTACATGTGTAGCTTTTTATTTTGTCGAGATATAGACTTGGATTAGAATCAAGAATCTATGATCCAAAACAAACCAGTGAACCAAAGCCAAGTGGGCATCCAAAATCTTTCCCCAACCACCCATATTTCTCTCTTTCTATCCTTCAAAATTTATTTAATTTCTCTCTCAATCGATTAATCCACACTCTGCAAGCACCACCATGGCCTCAGCGTTGTTAACCCCAATCTTCTCCACCACCGCCCATGGCAGCCGCCACAACATCGCCACCCCATCGTTCCAAGGGCTCAGGCCCCTAAGCAAGTGCCCTTCATCCAAGCTCACCTCCAACTTTTCATCTGGTAGAAAGGTGGGTGGTGTGAAGGCAGAGTTGAGCGCCCCCGTGGTTATAAGCCTGAGCACGGGTCTGTCCCTCTTCTTGGGTCGCTTCGTCTTCTTCAATTTCCAAAGAGAGAACGTGGCGAAGCAAGTGCCGGAGCAAAACGGGTTGACCCATTTTGAAGCGGGTGACACGAGAGCTAAAGAGTATGCCAGCCTTTTGAAATCCAACGATCCCGTGGGATTCAACATCGTGGATGTTCTTGCTTGGGGCTCCATTGGTCATATCGTTGCTTACTATATCTTGGCTACCTCCAGCAATGGCTATGATCCTAATTTCTTTACTTGAATCTGACAGCTCTTGCTCTTGTGTTCTTTAATCTTTCTTGTTTTCTTATATATATAACCCTTTTGTAAAATTTGTATACTTTTTGCTTTGCTTTTCTGGGTTGGATTCAAGGCTTGTTTTCCTTCTCCTTTTTTGTTTGGTTCAACGATTGTATGTTTAATTTTCCTAATTTTACTTGATGATAAATTCAAAGGGTTAATGTTCATAATTTTATAAAATTAATTATCATTTATTTTAAAAAATAATTAAATTGATTTCATAATCGAGTACTTTTATATCATACACTTTGTCGTATTGGAACCAACATCTCCCTGCATGATACAACAACAACAATTCTAATAAATGAAGACTCAATCGACTTAGTTATTCAAATATTATAATAATAGTAAAAATCAAATTATGGTTAAAAGGCTACTTTAGATAAGTTTCAGTTGGTGCTACTGCATCTTTGTTACTGTATCTGGTCTCTTCATTTGAAACCTTCTAGTAATCTACAAGGCTACATAGTCTGTCTCTTTTGTTTGATTTAATCGAGATATGATATAGAACAAAAGAGACAGACTATGTAGCCTTGTAGATTACTATAAGCAGTTTGAACTTCCTTACTGATCTGGTGTTCATCTCCATGAGCCTCATCAGTATTTACCCCATCATAATTCACAGAGTTTCTATGTTGCTTTCCATTACTTGTCACTGAAATTGGAGCCTTCGTAAAGATAAAAGTATTTTTTTTCTGAAAATACGTAAAGATAAAGTTGGAACTTCTTGAGTTGGATTCCATACTGGAATTAGAGTTGAACTCTTTGACTTGAATTACCCACGGTGTTCCCACTTAAATTCATCTGGTGTCTCTCATGAATGTAACCCAAAACTGAAGGCAGGTTGGCATACTGGCTGCTGTAGATGACTTGCTACTCCGGTCCTCACTATTTTCAGAATCTGTAGCGGAACCAAAAGCAGCTCCAACTGCAAAAATGGAATCTGAATTGGGGCTATGCATCATGAACCCAGGAGCCAAAACTGCATTCTTCAACATATTCATTGATCCATTAGGGGATCCACTGCTCTGATTGATCACAGATGATGCACTATGCTGTGGTTTACTTGGATCTGGATTTGCGGAACCGGTCAAGCCTCTCTTAACTATTTTACTTCTCTCCATTGTGATAGTAGCATCCTTAACAAAGTCTCGCTTAATCCGCCTCCGTTTCTTCAAGCCATACCCTTTGGTGGTAGGAGAAGATGACGCACCAGGAGATTTAACTGCTACAAGAGGTGAAAGCATTGGCTGCACAGTCTCAGCAGTACCCTTTACATGATTTTCAGCTGTCAAAACATTAGAATCGTCAGTTTGATCAGTGTCCGACCTCTGTATCGTATCATCATTTGTGCACGATCCATTATCCTTACTCTCGTGATCACCAGCGTGCTTATCCTTGATTTTATCGTAACCAGCATGATGTATCGTGTTTTGAGCGGCTTCATTATCCTCGAACAATTCAAGTGTAGAACATTCGCTTCCTAAATCCATAACTGTAAATCGAGTTTCACACAAGATTCACTAAGATCAGGATCCACAAAAATACCTACCATTCCACCAGAACCATGTCCAAATCAATTCAAAATTTGAAAGAAAGAAAATGAAATCAACCAAGCTATCATCCCCAGTTGGAAAAAGTCAATGAAGTGAAATAAAATTGAAATACGCCCATCATTGGATGATCAGTTAATCATCAATTTCGAATATAAATTAAGGAATTCAAAGAAGCAAATGAACTTAAATTTTCTATAAAATAAACATCACGAGAGCATATCGCAGATTGAATTGAAATGATTAAAAAGAACTACTGAAAATAGAAAAAGTGAAAAAAGTAAGATGTAATTAATAAGCTATTCGATTAAAAGTGGTACCTTTTTCTCAAGCAGCCATAGAATCTAAGATGAAGGTTACGGTGATGATAAACCGAAGAAAATATAAACCCTTGTTGACCTGTGGTTAGATTTGCAGTTATATAGAGCAGGGGTTTTCTAGGTTAAAATACATGCATGACCATTTAACTGTTATGAAGATTTTAATCTGACCACTAATATATTAATATTTTAATTTATTTATTTATTTAAATAATATTAATTAAAACATTTGTTGTTAACACTTAACAAAGAAATTGATATGATAGTTAAAAATTGATATAATTTATATTTTATCTTTATTGTTCATATATTCTACTAATTTAATTTAAATTAAAAAATAGTTTAATAATTATCTAATAAGATATTGAGATGTGTCATAATTTTATAATTTTAATTAAAAACAATGTAATAATTTTCTAATAAAATTGTGATATACATAGTAGTATTGATATCATAAATTTTAGTATCGATATTGGTCAAGTCCAACCATCATCAACGATTAATTTATTTAAATATTATAAAGAAAGTACCGATACTCTTAATGTCCAATACCAATACTACTTGTTCTGAGCAATTTTATTTTGCAACAAATTAATTCTTCAACGGCTCCAAATCATCCCAAAGGCTAGAAACAACTACAACCTCATTTTAACTTATAAAAACAACACAAGAACAATTGAAGAATGTTACAACACCTATTCAAGCAATCTAGATAAAGAGAAAAACTCTTTCACTCTTATTTGAAAAATAGAGTAATTTTACCTTAGCGTTTGAAAAGATAAGGAATTATAAATGTTACTCTTGAGCTTAGAAAATGAAAGAACAAATTAATAAATTTGTTAGAAATTCTTAGTGTGTTTTGTTCATCACAATTTATTTATTAACTTAAATTCAAAATATATATTTTATCTCAACTAATAAAATTTATATATCATATTATACATTTATCTTATATAATACATTAAATAAATTAACAATCTTATTTTAATAATTAATTAAAGTAATTATCGGTTTTAAAATAATTTTTATGATGCTCAAATTTATTAATGAGTACTTCTTTTGAAAATATACTTTTTTTTAAATATAGTGCTTGTTTTCTTGAAGAGGAATTACTTAAGTACTACAAGTGGTACAAATTATAATTGCTTATTGAGTGAAAAGTAAAAGAGTAAATGAAAAAGGTGGGCGGCGGGGGACACATGGGTGGACGGGGCCCACACTGAGACAATAGGGCTAGACTGGTCGGCTGCCCTGCCCTGCCCATGTTTCAGAAATGACTTCGGGAGGCTTTCGTAATTACCGAACTGCCCTCCTCCATTTTCAATTTCTAATAGTACTATTTAGTTAGTTGTTTTTTAGTGTGTGTGGGACCATTCAAATTGATTAATTTATATATTACTTTATTGCATATCAATTGCATATGATGGGTGATTAGCTTAAAATCCTCTAAAAGTTTAGGGACTACTAGTGTAGTTAACCCTAATCTTTTAACATGCTCATTAAATTAAGGAGACGAAAAAAGGGCAAAATTATATATGATGGGTGATTACCACTATTATATTTATTTATGATTATATAATTTGTAGTTGCGTCTAACTGCAGCTCCCAGAAAGCTTTAAGCGCCTAGTCCGAGAAAACCTACCCCACCACTTTCTCTTTCTCTACATCTATCATTCTTGTTTTTTGACCGCACAACATTACAAATCATGACTCGGACCGTACTCGACTCACTTCGTCAAAATGCCGAGGATCACACTACTCAGTGTATTTGGCAACGACAGCCAAACGTGATTCATTACATTACATTACATGTATGTTTGTTTGAGGCCGAGTCGACTGTAAAAACAAAGAATGAAAACTACACACGTACGTAGCCATGGCAGTATATAAATCATCTTCACTCGTTTCTACTTTTTATTATTCTCGTTTGTCTCCTAATTAAGAAGAATATCCCTATCAATATCATTACTCCCACCTCCATCATGTATATGTATATAATACTATTCATCCTTGTATATATATCTCTTTGCTTTTGTTTTTTTCTTCTGGTTTAGTTCTTCTAAGTGGTATCATGCATGCATGTCCATCACTGGATTCACTGCTATAACTGTTATATTTACAAAGGTCCTTTCATACAAGATATATTCATGCATAATCATTTACGTAGCACTCATTTATCCATGCATGTCCATCACAACCGTTGTGTCATGCATCAGACATGCAAATTTAGTCATGCAATGTATACAGATACGCATTTCACCCTCACTTCCACCGTTCCTCAGCTGTGAAAGCTCTTGCGCATTGCTAATACGTATGTGCATTCCCACACTTAATGATCTTCAGATTTTTAATGTTTCGCATATGTATATGCATATTACTTCAAAATATATATAGAAAACTGATGATTGATCATAATCCCTATGCCATTCATTAATGAATTTTACAAGAACAGCCTTTGTTCGCACGTCGAAGCAACTCAACGAGTATAACAAAACATTAGAAAAACATGATAAAATACTTGATATAAGGACACTTTAAACTCTGCCCTTTGTCAGGTTTTATTCAAGGATTTTGCTTATATATATTATCTAGTCTTTGTAATAACTTTATAGTTGCCGAAGTCTCGAAAACTGTGAAAAGTTTGTTCAACTGCAAGTGAAGGAAAAATAAATACAAACCATGACATCTCAAATGCTAAACTCGCACAAAATCTATTAAAACTCAAACTGCAATTATTTTAGCTTGTTGCATATCGTCTCGAAGCCTGAAATCTTATCAGTCATGGAGAAGCTCAAGATTCACAATTCCCATACCACCCAAAGCTGCTAAGACAAACTCGGAGAATAATAAACTGCAGGTCTGAGATGGCCAATTGAGGATGATGCAGCCATAAGAGGCGCCCGCTGTGGCACACCAGAACGTTCTGAAGTGCAATCCCATCGAAAAGGAACTGCATTGGCTCGACCAGAAGAGATTGCATTAAAGTTATTATTTTGTACCGTGGTTGGATCACCTCGCGATGAGTCTTCCAGCTGATAACGAGAAAAAGGATTCATGTGCCTTACACCATGATTAGGAACTAATGGCATCAAAAGGCCAGCTGGTATCAGTGAGCTTTCCCTCAAGCCTTTAAAATGCTTGGCAGTGTCGAAGAACTTGTTTGTTTCACTTTCAGGAGCATCATCAATGACAATTACTTCTTTGGAAAGAGCAGAATCACCGTTCCTATGTAGGTAGTCTAGAGTTGTGACTTTCTCCATATCTGGACCTGGCTTGCTTATCAGTCTGCTCGATCGAGCTGGCAAGTTATATTCGCCTGCATATTTGTATAGCTCCGTGGAGGTTGTAAGACCACATTCCATACGTCCATCAAAAAATATACCAGCTGGAAATTGTGCTGGTGTTTGTCGTGTTCCAAGATCTGCACGGTTTCCATAGCAATTTGTTAATTGGACATCAAAAGATTTCCCTGCCAAATCTTTTGGATGCTGATCAAAGATTGAAGAACTCTGAGGCATTGTCTGATGGAAGGGTATTTCACCTTGATTCCCAATATTGCTCGTAGAGATTCCAGACGAAGTTGGAAACTTAGGAGTTAGATGAATACTCTGAGAACATGACTGGGCCTGACCATGTGGCACAGATGTGTCTTCCTCCTTGTTAATCACCATTAAGTTCTTTCCCATTAGCCTGAGAACGGGATTAGAAGATGGGGTAACAGCATCACAGTTACTGCGATCAGAAAGCTTGACAGCAGCACCAGGGAAACCTTCAAAAGCAATGGAACCTGCAGGAGGTTTCAAGACAGGTAAAACCACTTGTTCGGATCCTAAATTCCCACTACTGCTCCGAGAGTTTGTTTCTGGTCTTGCATCCATGTTATCAGGACTGATATTTTGATTGGCAGAAATTTGCATTCCCATGGTAGGGACCATCATCGAAGCAGTTGCCCGTCGCCTTAGTATTTGTGGCTCCTGATAATTTAGGGCAAAACCCAGGTATGATCCGTCTTTTCTCTGACACCAGCATGGCTGATCATCATTATTGAAAATCAAAGGTCTATTTTCAAGAGACGTTCTATGCTCTCTAAACTTCTCTCCTTTAGAAGTTCTTTCAAGTCCCGCTCTTGTATGGAGAAATGCAGCACCGTTTTCAACTAAAGGCCCAGATTTGGCGCTAGAGCAGCCAGATCTATAATTTTCTAGCATTACAGGATTACCGACAAATGCTAATGGCTCAGCAAGCTTCGAATCTGACTTGGCTTCCAGAGAATTAGAGATTGTAGACACTGCAGATATGGGTGAATCTGATGATTCCCCATCAACGAAATCAAGCTGATCCTGAGAGGACTGAATTGGGGTGGTCAATGATGAATTCCCTTGAAAATCATCAGAGCCCATGGCCCTAGGACTAGGCAAAAATGATCCTGGTGGACCAGGAATAGGTATCGGATCAACCTCAGGAAAAGAGTTCAATTGTGCCGCATCAGAATCCAATTCTCCTCCCATATTACCTGTTTGTCTAATAATATCATGGCTAAGTTCAGCACAAAACATGTGCGGTTCACCAACAAGATCTGTATCTGTAAGGTTTGCCACTCCTTCACCCCCACACAAGGGCCCACTGTAATCCTCATGTGTATGTATAGAATTGGACCTATTCTCGGAAAGATTACTATGTTTGTAAAACTTGGTTTCTACCGAGTGACTCAAACTGGTGACAGTCTCCTCAAAAGATTCCAAGCCACCAGCTTTATCCGGAGTATTCTCACCACTTCTTGCAGAAGAATCAGTGTTCTCCGTCTCATCAGAAGAAGAAGAATTAGATGTTGAATGTATGCTCAAAGCCATGGATTCCTCCCTACTGGAAATACTTTTTCTTCTTTGTTCTCTAGATGGGGCTCCTTGGATGCTGCTTCCTCCAAATGGCATTTCTTCAGTAATCTCTTTCCTTCCAGATTGATTTTCGGAACAATCATGCACCAAGTCACATTCTTGATCAGAATCAGGACCCCAGGATACATCTTCATCGATTTCCTCCATAAAACGCAGTCGATTTTCCGTCACTAAATGATTCTTAACCAAGGTTGACCTAAATTTACCCATGGAATACCTGCTGCTAGCAGATGACACATTTTTCTTTGGTGAGGATCTGAAGCGTTTGAATGCAAAAGAACGGCCACTAATAGGTGCCATAGAAGTGACAGGAGTATTGGGATTACTATTTGCATCATTATCAACCATCTTCTTTCTCAATGAAGATGAACAATTTCCACCAGAGCTCAAAGATTTCACCAAATGATCCTTCCCTAGACGGGAATGGTCTTTGCTCAAGTGATTTTCATTTTGCTTATGTGATCTTAGCTCCACCTTGTCACGGATTCTTGGTCCACACAAGGAACTTCTTACTCTTTTTCTTCCAAAAGAATGCTCCCTCTTATCCATATCTGGGGCTTCATGAATTGGCTTCTCTCTCTTCTCACATTTTTCAGGAGAAGAAATTGCAATTTCAGATGAACTTTTTAACCTACGAACACAATTTCTCTGCGCAACAGGATCTCCTTGATTTGGTTGATCCCTCTGAACCTGCAAGTCCAGGGAAACATTCCGTCTGCAAACCGAAGGTTGATTTCTAGCTTGATTACTAGGCTTCCTTGAAAGACCAACTTGTTTAGAGCACACCCTTTCCCTAAAGTTTCTAGAATCACTGGATTTGACTTGCTTTGGCACATCTGGTCCATTGCTCTGGCAAGTTTCTGCTACTCCATGGTACCCTTCTAGACCTCCAACCATCTGTTGAAAAACATTATGAAAACTGTTAAATTTTTTACATCAAGAAAACCTTTTTTATACCCTATTATTATTCTAGCAGCATGTGGATGCCATGGTCACAGCAAAGCTTATAATCACAAAAAAAAGAAGCATGGAGAGCGATAAGCTAGTTAAGTTTTAATTCATAACTACTTTGTTTTCAATTCACCGCAGAACTTATAATCACAAACTACAAAACATGGAATGGGTTCAAATACTAAGGGCGTATAAGACTGTTTATTTTTCAATGAAAAAAATTACATGTGTTTTCAACTATGTTACTCGTGCTTGGGTGTGTGTTGGATACGGGTAAATATCTGCATTAATACGATTAGATTTTTTTTAAAAAATGTTTTCTTTTTGTAACCTTTGGAGGTTATATCTCCAAATGTATTTGTTGGATGCAAGCATTGGGCATAAGAACTTCAAGAGAAATGAAGAGTCCGGTAACATTGTTTCCATGAGTTTTAAAAAGATAACTCAATCAGCTAGTCAACATCAAATACAGGCAGTAAAACCTTCAAAAGCACCCAAGAAAGAAACATAAAATAATCAGGTAAAAGGGCAGAAGATATGTATAAGGAAATAACAAAGAGAGTGTACCGTAGAAGAGCAGGTCTTATGCGAGAAAAGTTTTCGGTTTTGAGGAGCAAGTTTAAGATACTTGTGATGTTTTGAGGAGTGTCGCCTTTTCTTTTTTGTTGAAAATAATTTGCTTCCTTTTAAAGCTTTGCTTGGTCCAGGATCATCTCCGACTTTTGACACTGGTGGAACATCATTAGACTTTGATAAAATACGGATTTTTGTACCATTGTCATCAAAATAAACCGCACCTACGTTACCAGTATCCCTGGGATTAATAGAAGAAGCCCTTTGCTTTTTCCTTTCGTCAGATATTTCAAGTCTTCCAGAATCCTGGCCAAGGATCTTTGATGTAGTGGCCCAGCATCTACCATTCCTCCTATCAAGTTCTTCTAAAGTGCATGGTTTAGCAGTCTCGTACACATCCACCATCATTCTAGTCTTCCTCGGCTTTATTCTATGATGAGTAAGCTTAGAATCCACAGTCCACTTGGGAGTCGATTCATCAGAAAGACATTGGTCGATGTGAGCATTCAAGGTGGTATTCGAAGAGGAAGAAAAGGTTTTACAAACAGGGCAAACTTTAGAAGCCATGGATTCAGATAACATGGTAGAACTTGAAGCAATATCTTCAGTCGATTTAGGTTCAGACTGTGCACCAAATTTCACAATTAATCTGCACTTCTTCCCAGATGCTCGGGTTGAGTTTTCAGTCTTTCGAGCCTTACCAGCAGCTTGAACTCCAGCTGATGCCTCCACTGTTATATCGGTTTCTAATCGTAAGTCGGACTGTTTGTTAACAAGAACCGAGTCTATATCAGCTTGAGAAACACTTGCTGTTGTGGAAGGTAAATCATTTCCATGTTCTCCTCCCGATCTGCACGAGCTATTGTCGATGCAAGTACCTGCTAGGTTATGGTTTGAGTAAGCATCATTGGATGACTCTAGTACCACATGATCGTTTGACCCAGATGGCTCGTCACCAAATTTTCTCGTAGTTTGCTTCTCAAATGGACTGGTTTCAACCACGCATCTCTCTAAGGACTGGTTTGTTACAGTACCAAGAATCTCAAATGGTGGCAATGGATCTTTCAAGCCATGCTTCAAACAAAGCTGCAAATTCTTGGGAGAAAACGGCCAATTCTTCTTGATATCATTGCCCCGAGCAGTGAACACATAATCTCTGCAGTACAAGAAGATCTCTGTTGTCAGTAACTGGGATAAACACATGAAGAGATTTATATGTTAAAAAGGGTCAATCATAATGAAAGAAGCAAAAATTGATCATTCAAGAGATTTTCTTAGGGGAACCAAAGGTTGAAATCTAGAAGACTCTGATATTGTATGTTAAGTCAAGAAGGGGGGGGGGGGACACATGGACCATCACAAATACTCAAAAGAGAGAGGAAACACATCAACAGTGAAGAAACAGCCAAGCAAAATAAAACCAAAGATTCAATGATCTATTATACTGAATTACCCCCAGGCAAATGAGAGGAAAAATGAAAAGTACTCTCTGCATGAAAATGGTAAAGAGTGGTCAAGTACACATCTTGCTGCAAAGAGAACGCAAAGAACTTCCCAGAATTTTGCTCCCAAAAATAAAATCCCATGTCCAAAAGTACCCCTCTCAACCCCCTTCCCAAGACCAAAATAGGGGCAAAGATTTGGTGTGTGTCAATATTTTAGGTTCCCATGTTGAACTGAGTCACCGGGTAACATAAAACTCGTGGATCTGACCCAACAGATGTCTTAAGATGAGATCAAAGGAAAGCTGTTAGAATCCATAAGGAAAAAAAGCCTGAATGTCACTGTTCACCCTCAAGTTGAAGAGAACAATATGGAGTGAAAAGAAATCAAAATCAAACTGAACTAAAAAATAATATTATATATTAATTACCTTATGGAGAACCTGGGGAGTGGGGTATGATGCTGATGATTATCAAGAAACGGCTTGTTTAGCAGATCTACCTCAGGCAAGGGAAGCTTATGAGGAGGCCTCTCAATCTCATCACCACCACTTTTCAGCTGTACTAGAACTTGGCAGGGACATGGGGGATCTGGTGGAGGGTTTTCAATGGATAACATCTGATGAAAAGCTTCTCTCTTCTTGTGCTGTTTTCACAACAGTCACAAGCCACACTAATACTGCTTCTTTCTCCAGCAGTAGAGCCTCTTATCTTCAGCATAACACACTTTCCCCTCTGATCTCTTCTTCCTCGCTTCGGTTGTATCTCTTATAACTTCTTTCTACAAAAGAGTATTCACAAGATCAAACGATATCTCACTCGCATCTTCGTTCATTCATAGCCTACAGCAATAATAGATAGAATTAAGAAGATGATACGGTAATAAGAATAGTTTGAAGAAAAAACCCAACTGAGAAAAATGAAGAAGATCAGGCAGTGAAAGGAACGTTATTTTATGTGAAAGGGAGGGAGTGTATTCGAAGCATGTGCGTTTTGGTTCATCAAGGAAAGCAAAGAACATAACCCGCAAGGAAAGATGTTGCTCAACCAAAGTCCATGAGGGAGCGTTATTTTATGTGGGCAAACCCAGAGAAGTTAAAATTACAGATCTTTGAGACTTTGTGGCAACACCATCTACTACCAAAACTCTCAAGAAAATGATCAAATCCCATAGGAAAAAAAGGCAAACCATAATTAATTAGATAATAGAGAATAAAGCGAATATTAATACATGTAAATCGGAAAATTTTTGGAGCTGGGATTCTCCTTCTTGTTAACCTTGGGACTAAGCAAGAAAGGAACCCAGAAGCTGAGAAGACAAAGAGGATAGTGAAATCATATGTAAACATATATAGTAAGTAATTAGTTTTTTTCGGAAGGAACGTTGAAGAACATGTGAAAAGAAGAAGAATTCAAAACAAGTGAAGCCTTTGCTTTGAACAACAACAGGCAGGATAGATGTAGAAGAAGAGAAAACTAGGGCAAAAGAGATTACCTTTGGGAATTTTTGATTGAAGGCAAAAATAAATAATTTTGAGAGGAAAGAGTTTATGTTTGGGAAGAAAATGAGAGATGGGAGAAAGTTGAAGGTAAAATCAGAACCAACCACTCACGCATCAAAAGGGGCATCAGATTCCTCCCCCTTCCCTTCTTTTTCTTTCCACTTCCACCCCTTAATTAAAATTAAAAAAATAGTAAATAGATAGAAGAAAAACAAGCAAAAGTATGCAGTACCATTCCATTCGAGTCAAACAGTGAACAAAGAAAGAGGAGAGAGAAAATGCAAGATTTTCTATTTAGCCACCCAATTATTACAATAGTTTTGTTTTGGTCACCAATTCTTTTTGAAAAGTTTGTTATTAATGTTATTTTTTTGTTTTGAATTTTTCATCCACGGAGTAGATGATGATGTAGTTTGATATAATAATAAGTTTATTTTTCTAAAATTTATATGATCTTAATTTAAAATAATTTATAATAATTTTAATTTTTATTAATTTAATCATGTTATACTTTAAAATTATTTAATAGATTTAATTCTCAATAAAATGATACCACGTTATTGGTTAAAAATAAAAAAAATGAATTAAATTCGAGGAATAAATTTACGAGCTAAAATAAAAACAATACTTGACCGTTGCAATAAGACAGGTAATGATTTGGACCTGAATTATATAGGAATTTTAAATATTTAAAATTAAATGAATAAAACTAAAATATTAAATTTATTAAGTATTTTAAATTAAGATCGTAATATATTAATTATACTTTAGAATAAAATAATAAAAATAATGATGAGAAAAATAATTCAATAATTAAAATAAAAATATAGAATGATAATTAGGATGGTCATATGAGTTAATCGAGAGAGATCATGTTAAATTTTTTAATCTACTTAAATTTAATTTTAATTTCTTTTATTCGTATAGTTCTAATTTGAATTTAAGAGATTTATTCTCAGTTGATCAGAAATTATAATCAATTTTTATGTTAAACTCGTATTCGATCTGATTCGATCTATATATATATATATATATATAAAGACCTAAACAAAAATAGTACGAGATATTATTATAATTATTTTTAAATATATAAGAAATCATTATAATATAATATCGGGTCGTATAAATTTTTTCACCAAAAATTCGAATTTGATCTGAATCCACCCTTAAAAATCCGACTCCATCCTACCAAAATTCAAAATTTTAAAACAAAAAATTAATCTTAGATCAAAACTCATCAATCAAAACGAAATGCCCAGCCTTAATAATAACTAATTGATCAAATAAATAATTTGTTTTTTAAAATTTATTTATTTTTTAAAAAGAAAAAAAAATACTTGCGGTAAACAAACAAAAACAAACCTCTGTTCCCCCCCCCCCCCAATAATTACAGAATATTTTTCTTCATCCACCTCCATGGCTGAAAATGTGGGTTTAAATTGAATCTCTTTCTTATTCTGCAAATTCCAAACTCAGCAGCACTTCTTAAAGATTAGGAGCTACAAAAGTCGCCGAAGATCGAAACCCATCCACTACACGACAAACTCTCCGTGTTTTCGCCTTCACTTTCACCACTGTTCTTCATTATATTATTAATACATTGATGTACGACTCGCCCTATAATTCCCAGAATCCATTCATTTCTGATTTAACCTCAAACTGCAATATTTTTTCACGATGATATTTAAATTAATCTATTATATAAATAGATTATGTCATGTTTATTACGTGAATAAATGATACCATTTTAAGTAAATTATATTTATAAAAAATATTTTCTTTGAATTAATCATTAATGTTCCATTTATTGACCGACTAATCCAAATCGGGTATTGCAAAGACGAGTCTCCCGACCCACTCCATTCGCAAACGTCAGAGTTCGAACCCTTGAATTTGCTTAAGGGATCTAATGTCTCATTTAACTAGACCAATTGATTGTTGGTTTATACAAAAAAAATTAACATGATTTTAAATGGAGTAACATTACATCTATATTTTTATTTGTTGTTATTATATTTATTTTTTAAATACTTTATTTGAAGATCAAATATAAATCGATAACACTAACTTTAATAAAAGTAAATAAATATTAAGCGTGTGTGTGCATACACAAGCATAGGAATGTCTGTGAGGTCCAGTAGGAATAATCAAAAACTGGTCCATCAATAATTCCTTGGAATTCAATATACATGATCCTTTGAAACTTCATGAAACCAGTTGCGGATTAAATGAGCTGTAAACCACTGAATATCATATCAATTACATTGTCAACTCGCAAACTAAGATTGGGGTTTGCTAAAATCTACATATAATCTCAATTTCATATTCCATGGCTCCATAATGCTCATCTCACGTCGGTCAAACTCGGTTTTGATATTCCTTACCCGGTTAGGCTAGGCTTGGATTCCAAAGCAAGAAGGTAAGAATCACAGATCAATGCAAAACCAAGCACTGCAGCTGTTGTGCTTGCAGATTTCATGAAAAGCTTTAAATAAAACAACGCAAGTTTCTGTGTCTCCAAACAAAATGGGGACAAGCTTCTGCTCTCAATTCCCCTCTTAAAACAAGTAGCAGCTAGTAGATTGGTAGGTTGTTTAAACAAAATAAAACACGCGATACTGATGCAGTGCATGATGATTTGCTTGAAACTTCGAATGAACTTTAGCTCGAGCTCAAACACAAGTAGATAAGATTTGAGGAGCACCACTTTATCCCCTTCAAGAGTCCTGCAAATTCGAAATATATGTTGTGGCACAAGCAGTACTGTTCCTAATTACCCTCTCAAGCTCTAGACTCGAAAACCTTACAAATTTTACTTATAAATAGTAGCACAACATATACATGCATTCATACACACGTATAATATATTCATCTGGGCTTAGTAGGACTTGCCATGAAAGTACAATTGCACATCAGAAATTGAGAGAGTAACGATTTATCTCAATCAGAATCATCCTCGCTAAAAATTGCTAAGTTGGCTAAATAGACTTTCAGTAGATTACTTGAAATATCATCCTATCGGCAGCAGAGATATATATGATATCATCCTATCGGCAGCTGAGATATAATATCATCCTATCGGTAGCATAGATATACAAACATAAATTCGTAAGCAAGTTGCAATAGGATGGAAGGAAAAGACAATAATGAGAGAGGAACCCCAGTGACTAATGTTAGCATACTAAGTGGTATTTCATCGATGCACAATTGTAGAATCAGAACGGCTTTTCATACTCCTGCGCTGGTGTTTGCTCCCACGCCGGTAAAAAGCCTGTAAAAGATCATCAAAGGGTTCTCAGGGTCAAAAAATAAATAAATTGAAAAAGGATGGAAAAGAATTCAGAGCATAAGAATATTTAGTTAGAAGGGGATACTCATAATATAACCTATTTTTACCAATAATAAGACACTAGCAGTAAGTTTTTATATTAAAATGCATTGTAGAATTAATAACAGAACTAAAATGGGGAAAAAAGTCACAAGCCCAAGAAACCAACGGAAACGATTTTTGAACTAATGAAAAACTCGGGCTACCCTAAAACTCATTCATGCAAGTTTGCAGCTATTCCAGGATGTTCTTACTCTTAGAAAGCCTTCTATGGTAGGAAACTTCTCCCACCATACATCTTAGCACCTGAATTACATAAAATAGAAAAGAAAATCCAAAATTAGCATAACCATGGGGTCATTGCAAAAGTCTGGAGCTTGAGAATTCATTTTTGTTCAGGTTAACAACTGGAGATACAATAAAGACTTAACCATTTATTTTATTTCCAAATCAAACCTAGGTGAAAGGAAGTTCGGATATAGTGAGTTGGTCACTATATTGTTGATTTATCACTTGAAGATATATTCCCAATTTTCAATTAACCTTCCCCCTTCAATCAATAAGACAAACGTGAGATTCTAGCTTTTTCACTTTGTATCCCTCCTACTTTTTCTTTATCAAATGATTCTTTCTTATCTTTTCCATCCAAAACTGACAAATAAGCTATCTAGCATCTTGCTTGCGCATACAAGAAGTTTCAAAATCCTTTACACAATAACAGTTCTTTCATATCGTAAAATGCAAAAAGTTTTGTTACTTAATGCTTCCTTTAGCACACACAAGCAAGTTCTACAGGCACCTCCTGATAATATCCGATGCTGAGCAAGTATATTTGTACTCTTTCAGAAAACATCACTTGATTTCTTTTCAAAGGAGTTCTCCCAAATCAATAAACTTGGCGTAATTTGGTGACAAATACCAATTTATTCCCTTTTGGCAAATGCAGTACATGAAATGGTGACAGTTAAAGGAGAAATGAGAAGTAAATTCTCTGACGTCTTAAAATGAATAAAAAAGAAAGCAGTTTCCATCTATTTTATTTCTTTCCTTTAGCAGCTTTTAAACATATATCATGTTTCTGCAATATTTGGTTGATGGATGAATGTACAATGTATTAAATTACAGGTCAAGCAAAACAACAGATCAGACAGGTCAACCACAAACTGCAGCGACAAGAAGGCAAACTATAAGTTAAATAGGAGACATACTTAATGGTATTTCTCCCAGGGACATATATATTGAGTCGTCATCTGTGAGAGTTCCCTGAAGAAGAAAAGCCAATAAATTACTCGCCAAGCAAATGCTCAACTTATTGAAATGAAATGCATTGGCATAGTTATTCTTCAAAGAAAGTAGTAATATGGTAATAATCAGCATCACATTATCAATTTTTTTAAGAAACTTGACATTCAGGAACACTCGAATGTTTCGTTAAAATCAATTAAGGCTAGTAAGTACCAAGATTCCTGGGGTAAATAACATAAAGATTTGTACACAGAATGAACATCCTACTCAATGCAGTTAGTGTTGTACCTCTCCATTATGAAGGCCCGTGTCACTCTGCAGAGGATTGATGTCCTCGGTCTGCAGAGTGTTAATGTTTTCATTTTGCATAGGGTGAGCATTGATATCATCTGGGGGGCAATTTGAAAAATTTCTGAAGAACTCTGACATCATAAGCCCGTCATATTGATCCGGTACATCAGTCATATCACCATTCATGCTCACAAACATTGGTTCACTCCTACATGATAAACAAGTCAAATTCAAGATGAAGATGGGAGCCTAGCCTAGACGAAGTAGTTGCTGCATGAGGCACTTTGCACTTGAAACAAAGGTGGGAAATAACAGAAAACCAAATAGCGAAAATCATTTTGTCAATATTTGTATGCATGGGGAGAAAACGTGAGCAGAATTATGAATATGGCATACCAATAAAGCACACTTACTTTCTCCCCAAATTATCTGCAGTCTTGTCTTCTTGGATGCAATCATTCTCTAGATCAATTACTTCAATCTCCTTACAGTTATTTGCATGCCTATTACCTCCAGAAGGACCGTTAGAATTACTCATTGACAAATCTATACCTATCGTTGCTGCTTCAATTTTGGTTTCTGGAGCAGACGAGTACATTATAATTGCATCATTATGGTGACTTTCATTTATATCAGATGTTTCCATCAGATTAAGGTCGCAGATCTTGAATGCATTTGGAAAATGCTGCTTTTCTTGTACGTAATTGATACTTGATTCACCATCTCCACCTGGAAAATGTGAATTTGTGACCAAGCTGTCTTGGATCCCTTTTTTGACAACCGCACCAGCTTCCTCGGAAGTAGAAGCTATCCCTTCTACTAGTCCTACTTTCTTGTCCTCAAAATCAGAGAATGGCAGGAAATCAGTCTTGGTAGTCACAGACTCAAGCCATTCTCTTGGTTTTTTGGCTCCCTCCCTCAAATCACTCTGTTCAAAACCTCGTTTGTCGCCTCTCTCTTTAATCGCAACCATAGAGCATGATCTTTGGAGACCAGGCATGTCCTGAACCAATTCCTGCTCACTGTCATGCAAAAGGGCTCTATCAGGGAAAGCCTGAGACCTTGTACACTTACCCTGCCCAACACCATATATGTGATCCATGCCAAACGAATGAACAGACAAATCTTTAGAAAGTTCAGAATCAGGTTTCAAATCCTGACTTTTATTTAATAGCAGATCACCAGAGGAACCTCCCAGAGAGTTGTCTTCAAGTAAGGGTTGATGACCACTGGGGTTTTCAAAATTAGAAACACTTCCTTGATCATTAACCGAAACCGAGTCAGCCTTTAAGTTCCTCAATGTCAACGAAGAACGTGTTTTAGTAGGCACCTTGGCAAAATTGCAGAGTGCCAGTAAGCCTGTACAAGTCTTGCCCGAGACATCATCCTCCGTGGAAGAATGCTTGAAAGATGAATCCTTCAATACACCCTCTTCTTCAGTTTCAACGTTATCATTGCTGCCATCTTTTAGCTCTCCAGCCTCCATTATAAAATCTGCTGAATCATTGGATCTCTTCAATAGTTCACCATCAGTTTCAGACTTTAGATCTTTCTCCGCACCAGAAGAACTTGCCTTTGACCTCAATTCATCTGGTAGAATGTACTTATCATCGAAGTTAACTAATTCTTCACCTTTTGGTGCAAAGTCGCCGGAAACATGCTTGTGCAATCCATTACCGACATCTTTACCAACATGTGATTCTTCGTGATGTCCAGAAACATTATCATCATCAATTTCCAAGTCAGGAGAACCCCGAATCCGATCAGACCATGATCCACTTCCCCCATATTCTCGACCTCGATAAGACCCATCCTTCCTTCTTCCTTTAGAAAGATTTCTAGACCATGAGGAGTTATTTTCATCAACGTTACTCCTCCTGCCTAAACTCACATCAGAATTACAATTTCTCAGACGAGCAAGGGCCGATGTTTGCCTAATGGAGGGAAGGTGCAAGTTATCACCCTCTTGTGACCTATAATCTTGATAATCCCCCATCTGCTTCTTCAACCTACCGTTCTGCCATTTAGCAGGAAGCACACTTGGGGGCAACAATCCCTGAGAAACCAAATATTCCGCCGCAAGACGGCCAGCTTGCGTAAATATGTCAGTGCCTTCGCGCGGTGGAGGCGGATTCGATTGAAATGATTTTGGGTGCCTTTGACCACGCCCAAACCCACGCTTGAAGCTGCGGTACTCTGAATTGTAAAACCCATGGCCTCTACCCGATGTTTCAGGGGATATCCGGGAGGAGGAAAGCCCCATCACCATAGAATTAGACCTGTAGTCATTCCAAGCGTTTCTATGTCGAGCATGCATGTTCGAAGAGGAGCAAGTATCTACACAGGGCAGTGGCGAAAGAAAAAAAAAACCAAAGTGAAAAACAATAAATTAAAATCTGGGTATCTACTTTTATCACTTTCAATTCATTGCAAAAGATTTACAACAATTAGCATCTTGGGAGAGGGAAATGAAGAAGAGTCGAAGTAGTGGTAGTTGGTGAATCCCCGAAATGAAATATAGTAGTAGGGTTTATAGCTAAAGATCAAACCTTTTGTTTCCCTTTTTAATGAATTTGAATGATGTGTGCTTGGACGAGGAAGAAAATATCTACTTCAATTTTAGGGTTCCAGATCCAACAAAGGGACATGAAAATCCCTAATTAAAATTCATTTACTTCAACTGTTTATTTTATTTATTGAAATGAAGGAGCGGCAGCAGGAAATTTGTGTTTGATAATTTTTTGCTTTAACTTGTATTTCACTTTGTCTTGAAATATTTTTTTTAAATAAAAAATAAATATACAAATCATGATTTTGGTTTCGGATTCGACGTGTGCGGGTCTTGTCTTGTCTTGTTGGTAAAGAATCACACGTCAAGCCTTTTTAATGGTTAGCACGCTCCTGCACCATAGATTGCGGTAGTTGAGACACAAGCATGAATAATAATAACATGGCATTTTTACTAAAAATCACTCAAATACTATAATATTATCCGTTAAATATCATTTTTTTTTATTTTATCGATTTACTATTTTATAATAAGACAGTGACATGCATCTTTACTTAAGGTAAATCAAAGGCACATTCTCTAAAATACGTCTTTTAAAAAAACATTAACATGACATTATATAAAAATACGCATTTTAAATGATGTGTCTTCTAGTATTTTCTTATCACATCAAATTTTTTAAAATTATTTAAAAAAATATTTTTTAAAAATTAAAAAAAATAAAATTATATAGACTAAATTCATAATTTAATACATATTAGTTATATGAGTTGAAGAGCTTAATGAAGTTAGTTTATATAGTCATATTAGAGTGTTTAGGTTATATTTCTTGATAGTGTTAAATTATATTAGGTTAATATTTATTATTAATATTTATATTAACTAAGATTATATATTTTTTATATGTATTAGATATTATTGTCAATCTATTTAATTTAGAAATATTAATTTTGCTTCTAAAATTACAAACAATGTTATCACACTTACACAATCTCTATAGACGTATACAGAATTGCATATTTATGGTATTCTTATGTAGGATCAAACCATAGATAAATTTTCATTTCCCTCGCATCTTAAATTATATAAACATCACATCTTACATGTTCGTGGCACCAAACAATTTTTTTTTTATATTTTTATATTATATTTAGTTTAAATTATAGATCTAATTAATTATATTTAATAAATAATACATTAATATGTCAATGAGATATTTTTAATTTGTGTTACATACATTTTTTTAACTCATAATTAAAAAATAAATATTTAAATATTCTAACATATAAAAAATATTTAATCTTATTAATAAACCCTAATATTAAATATTAACCTCATATAATTTAACAATAGTGTATAAATAGATTCATTAGATATAGGAATAAAAAAATTAAGGAATACACATTTTAATTTTTATCCCACATTGTCAATAAACATAACCTAAACATTTTAATATGCATATATAAACTAATCTCGTTATGCTATTCAACTCATAGAACTAATATGTATTAAATTAATATATTAATCTCTATAATTTTATTTTTGAATTTTTTAAAGCATGTTTTTAATATGCTTTTAAGGAATGGTCAAAAAACCATGGAATGTGGGCCTCTTGAAATGTCCATTCACACATGGTGCCATGTTAATATTTTTCCTGGAAGGCGTGCTTCAAGGAACGTACCTTCGATCCACTTAAGTAAAGGCGCGTTTCACGTAATGCGACGTCTTATTATAAAAAGGGTAGATCAGTAAAAATTGGGGAAGCGATGTTTGCAAGTAATATTATAATATTTTGGTGATTTTTGAGTAAAAACACCTATTAATGTCTATTTTCATATATATATATATATATATATATATATATATATATATATATATATATATATATATATATATACATGGATGGTTTTTTAAAAAAATTAAGGATAATTTTACTTTAGAAATTGTTTTAAATTAATAAAATTATTCTTTAATTATATTGATTGAGTTTTTATTTTTAAAAAATTATATTAATTATATTATTCTTTAATTGATGAAAGCCAATGTTAATTGTTATAATACTTACATAGTTAATTATGCTTATATCACAGTTAATATTTTTTATTTTAATTAATAGTTAATTCAATAGTTATATTTAGAAACACTTTGATATTAATATTTCATTTGAGTCATAATAATTATTCGATGAATTAAAATTATCAATCAAATAATAATTCAGATATTCAGATATTGTGATAGAATGATGTGGAATGAAATGTCAACGTTTAGGCACTGAGGAAATAGAGTCTATAATTTAGGGATCGAGAAGATATAGTCCTCGATCTTGTTTTTTTTTTGTTGTCTTTTTCAGTTTAAAGTTTAGTACTGACTAACCGAAACATATTTAAGTAATATCAAATTATTTATCACTTGAATAAAAAATAATTAAGAGACGACGAATTAACTTCTAGAAGAATTTGTGGGAACTTGAATAAATTCTTTAGCATTGCGGATTATAATGGTTCGATGTTCTCAATCGAAGTTCATGTCTCGTTAATTTATTTTTTCACACATAAAGACTTCTCCACTCTTGAAGTTGAATTAATCCTTCAAACAAAAAAGTTAAATTTTACAACACTATCTTTTTAAAGCTTAAATAAAACATTTCATATTTTTAGATCACTACCATAGAATATTTTGGTTTATCTAAAACTAAACTATAAATACTCTCTTTTATAAGGTTTAAATTTATGTAAACTATACATACTTGTCTAAGTGAATACTTACAAGTTAAAACATAATGAATACAAAATTTATTTAATGAAGTTCTATGTTTTATGTACAAAAGAAAAATATATAAATTCAATGTATAAATAATAATATATAAATTCAAGAAATACAAAGTTGAAGCATCACTACTTATAAAAATATATATGATTGATTATTATCATATATTTATATATATTGAAATTAATTAATAATTTATTTATTTTTACTATTATGAATAGATCACTTATATATATATATATTTTTTCAGTATTTGATTCGACTTAAAGAATTATTTTTTTAATTTGCGACTATTTGAGTTGAATTATTCGAGTTAACTCGAATTATTGATCAGTTTTTGAGTTCAATTGAAAATCTCGAGTCACTCGAAAAAAACGAAAATTTGATTGAATATTTTGATAATTTTACAATTTAGTCTATGATTTTCTTATTCATTCACTTCATCCTTCATTTTAAGTTATTTTTTTTACTAAATTTAAACCACATTGTAAATCATCAGAGAATATCTATATATTTTCAATTTCCCTTTTTGATAATAAATTTTTTATTTAATCCATTAACTTTTCATAATTTTTTTATTTATTCAATTCATAATTCATTTTAAGTCTGTTTTTTTGTTAAATTTGAATGACATGTTCATATACCACTATAGAACATTTATGTAACTTCAATTCCAATTTTTTTACTAAAAATGTACTCTTTTTTTTATTGAGTAACTTAACTTTGTATTTTACTTAATTTGATCTTTTGACTGCATTTTGTTACAATTTTTTTTATTTTTATCAATTATTTGACTCGTTTATACTCTCATTAATATTCTACTCTCAAAATATATTTTTTAAAATATAATATTATAAATATATTTTATAATTTATATTATATTTGATATATTAAATAACATTATAATGTGAAAAGAATATGGAGAAATATATATCTTATATGGTTACAAAAAGTAGAAAAATTGAAATCCAATCCTTACCATAATACTATAAATAAATATAATAAAATTTGTATAAAAACTTAAATAACTCGATTTGAATTTCTTAAACTCTACTTAAAAAATTAAAAGTTAAATTTGTGTTATAAAATAAGACTCTTCAACTTGAATATCTCGATTTTTTTTTACTTGTTTTGACTTGATCAAATACTTATCCCTACCCCTAACATTGCCGTATAAAATACGAGTACTATCGTATTCATAGCAAATGAAACTTCACCGTATAGAAGACAAGTAATATCGAAATTGGTCCAATCCACATGCGCAACCCTTAAATAGATTCGAAATAGATGCACGACCCATAAGCCGCTTCATATAACTCTCCCCTACTTCCTTGAACACAAATGCATCGAAGGTAAACAACGTAATTATAAACTCGAAGAGCAGGGAAAGTCAATTATTATTTATTTATTTATTTATTTTAGCTTTTTTTGAACTATTTATCATATATATTTTTTGCTGGAGGTGTACGATTACAGAATATATTTACAACATTGGATATGCGTATGTGTGTGTAGTGGTTCGATCTGGTATGAAACGCGTGCGAGATCTGTTTGGTGTTGTTAATTCGGGAGCCCAACTGCGCCCGTATTGATGGTTGAAAATTTGGAACCAAATCAAATGAAATAAAAAGGAATTTTCCCATTTTCAATTTCTCAGAAAACACAAATTTAAATCATGAAAACGCAGGCCTGGGTTGGGTTTCGGAAGTAGAATTGGAGATTGGATTGGCATTTGGGTGTAAATGACGGGCGGAGGTGAATTCAGCGATCAGAGGCATCTCCTGAGATCCAACAGCCATAAGGACGAAGAATATGACAACGAGGAAAATCCCAATGACTTGGAATCTCAGGTGACGTACAGCAACAGCAATAACGCCGGCATCAATGATCTGATGAAGTATTTTGGGAGGGGGTTCTCCGCCAGGCGCATAAGCTTCAAACGGCTCGATAGAGACAGAGATAAAGGCAGAGAACGTTCGACGCCGTCTTCGTTATATCATCATCAACATCATGGTCACCGCCATTCTTACGATGGGGATACCGCTGATCATCTGGGAGATAGCGCTCCCCCCGAATGGGCTTTGTTGCTTATCGGTTGCTTGCTTGGGGTCGCCTCCGGTTTCTTCGTGGCCGCCTTCAATAAAGGAGTACGTTTTGTCTTTTTTTCTCTCTCTAGATCTATCCTCTTGAATTTGCTATCCAAAGGGCTTAATTAGAGTTTTTGTTCTTCTCATTTGCCCATCTCAGCATTGTCATTCTACAAATGACATTCCTTCTATTGCTACCAAATGCAGCTCCTTTTGGGTTCTCATATCTCACCTTTGCAACTTTTGCTGAAACAAAGCTTTAGCAAAGCGGCAATGAATATGTGAAATTTTTATTTT